TAGTCTCTAGTTTGAAAACTTAATTTTGAAAAAGCTATGGGTGAGCCAGGGAGAACATATGATAGTAAGGAACATGGGTTGATAAAAGAATAATATGAGAAGCAACAAAGCCCACATGGAAGAAGCACACCAGCCTGTGTGACCATGAGGTGTCGAAGGGATCAGGTATCAGGCATTCAAAGAACAAAAAATCATATCATTGTGAATGAGGGGAAGTGCAGAGCGGGGACCCAAAGCCTATTTGTGGGCAGCTGGACATCCCCTTACAGAGGGGTTGTGGGGAGGAGATGAGCCAGTCAGGGTGCAGTGTGGCAAAGATGAAACATACAACTTTCCTCTAGTTCCTAAATGTTTCCTCCTCCCCCACTATCATGATCCCAATTCTACCTTACAAATCTGGCTAGACCAGAGGATGTACACTGGTACAGATAGGTATTGGAAACACAGGGAATCCAGGACAGATGATCCCTTTAGGACCAGTGCTGAGAGTGGCAATACCAGGAGGGTGGGTTGGAAACGGGGAACCGATTACAGGGATCTACATATAACTTCCTCCCTGGGGGATGGACAATGGAAAAGTGGATGAAGGGAAACGTCAGACAGTGTAAGACATGACAAAATAATAATAATTTATAAATTATCAAGGGTTCACGAGGGTGGGGAGAGAGAGGAGGTAGGGGGGAAAATGAGGAGCTGTTGCCAAGGGCTTAGTGGAGAGCAAATGTTTTGAGAATGATGAGGGCCACGAATGTTCAAATGTGCTTTACACAATTGATGGATGTATGGATTGTGATAAAAGTTGTATGATTCCCCCAATAAAATGATTTTAAAAAAGCATTATATGAATCAGTTAATGTAAATTATAATTATTGTGTACAAGATTGTCATTAATGTTTTACAGAGTATATAATGATGTGTTTCTCATTAACCATTGAAATGCAATGAAAATGTAAATTAAGAACATTGATAGCATCATTATTTTTATGATTTTTGAATTTCTAAGAAATGAATTTTAAGTCTGTAAGGTAAATTGTTAATTGATTTTTCATTGTTCTTAATATTTTCCCAATCATATTAGCCTATGCAGTACATGTATTGCCATCTTTCCCTTCGTACAGAAAATTTAAACTGTTTATAACCTTACTCTCTGTTGAAAATTAGCTGAAAATGCTATCTGAGAAAACAATAGCAACAATGAATATACAATCTTAGTTACTGTGATCAAGCTTTATCAAAATGATAGTTAATAGGTTAAATCTTGATGAATTATTTAAGCTATTTGTTTTTTTCCCCTAGTTACCTTTATGACAAGAAAGAACAAATGTTCCTTAGTATTCTACACTTCCTTGTATGAAAGGCAGTGTCACTGTGAGTGGTGTGGTGGTTATTCCTTGGGCTGCATTCGCATGGTGGCAATCCAAAATCCCAGCAGCTCTTGGGTGTGTGTGTGTAAGACTATGTTTTCTATTCCCACAAACAGTTAAAGTCTCGGAAACCTGCCAGGGTCACTGAGTCAGCACAGACTTCAAGACAGTGAGCTTTGTTGGGTTTTGAGGCTACTGGGGATACATTTCAAAATTACCTCTTTAGGGAGATTAAAATACATAAGCATATCGTAATAAGTGTGATAATTTGAAGAAACAAAATAATTTGATACATAAACAAGGTACTCGATTGTGGTCTAACAATAAGCTTAAAGAAGGCTCTGGCAGCCAGGTTATAAATCAGAATAATTTCTTTTGAAGGATTTGCATTTAGGAAGTATTTTGAGTGACATGGGTCTATGAAGATCATGTTCCTGTGAGATTGCAAAGATTGGTTTAGTAAAATCAAGTAAATCAAGTAAAATCAAGACAGATTCCTTGTTCACCTCATTTCTGCATATCACCCATGTTCTTTTTCCGTTAACCTTGGATAATTTTCATGAGAGCATGTATTTTAATATTTTACAAACACTGTACATGACCTCTCAGAGTAGGAAGACAGGGTCAGCATGGGCATGCTCTAAACAGATACAGCACAAATGATGCACCAGCAGCTTCTGTTGCTGCTGCTCTAACTGAACAGAGGCCAGTTAGGGACTTTGATTCTCTGCTGTCTCATTCTCACAAATGCTGGAGACTGCTGTCTCTTCAAGTGGTCTGAGATGACAATCTACCATCAATTACAGACAATTGGGTCTTCATTACAAATTAATGAAGTGATAATTGCTCTTTGCAACCTTTTATGTGCAGAGCATACTGGTGTTGTTTGCATGATCTCCTTGCAATTTGTACTTCTGCCTTCAAGGACTTCTAATAGCTAGCTAAATAAGCATTGAGAAGAAGAAGGGAATGCTACAATGAAATCTCCATAATTAAAATCACGTTTTATATCAACTTATGAAACTCTATATATAATATTTTTATTTGTTGTCTTGTAAGGTGCTTGTGATAGCAAGCAACATTTGCAACAAAACTAATCATTCAAATAGAAATTTTATCTATTGTAATATGGAATGCTTATTTAAAATGTAAAGTTAGTTTATTATCTTTACAATGTAGAACATGCTATGAATTAACTGTACAAAATGCACAAAAACTAATTATTCTCTGAGATTTCTGATTGCTCTGTCTTTACGCTTGTGCTACCAGCCACAGGGTCAGCCTGTAAAAATGTAGTCTCGCAACCCCCAGAGGCAATTCTACTCTGCCCTGGAGGGTCAGAATGGATTCGCCTGTTTGAAGAATAATGATGATTCAACAAAAATACTAATTTTTAACATTAGAAGGGTTTTGTTTTGTTTGTTTGCTTTTTGAGCAGCCATGTTCTTTCTTTTTAAAAGTTTGTCATTAAACTTATACATCATTTTTAATATGATTTATGTATTATAGATACCTTCATTAAAATTCACAGAACTAAGACTCTCACACAGGTATTCTTTCATTAAAGCCTTAAAACTTTCTGTATAATACGTATACAATATAGATATTTAAAATGACACATTGATGATTACTAAAAGTACAAGCCATTATTATTTCTTTATATTAAGATAATAAGTTAAGAAAAAATATTCCTTGTATATGTTATGTCTAAGATTTTCTTTAAAAGCATCCATTTGTTTCCTTTTACAACTTTAGGGGTAAAAGTAAGGTCAAACGGATTTTAACTCTAGAAGTTTAGTACTAATTTTATATTCTAGAATCCAAGTGCAAAAATTGTTGGATAGCCAAGAGTGTTAAAATGAGTACTATATAGACTCATTATTTAAGAACAATCTAGTTAGCATTCATGTTTAAGAAATAGCAAAACATAAAACTAAAAATCTACCAGTATTTTGTAGATAGCTATGTTTATCAGACAGTAATGAATGCTGAGGTATGTGATAAAAGTAAAATTCCGGTGGTGAGGGGTAAGATTATGTGTCTGCTTGACTGGATTTTGGTTCTCAGTGCTGTGCCAGTTATGTAAGGAAGTAAGTTTGCAGTTATGTAATATGTGGTCAGTTTCCATTTTGTGATTGGAGGGCCTTCATTTTTGCATAATGATTTTTGTACAGCATCAGTGTCTTCAGTGAGGAGCTGCTAAGTGAGAAGTAGGTGCATTAAAAAAAATTCTTTCAGCTTATAAAAGATCTGGAGAGATTTAGAAATAAATTTTTAAGCTATGCTTCTCAGATTGTTTGGAGTTGACAGATTGTTGTTGATTAATCAAACAGCTGAATATAAATGATTTATTTGTCTCTAATGAGGCGTAAAGGACAAGTAAATGTTATGGTTCTTTGTTTATGATTACTCTCAATTTATTAAATTAACATTTATCTCACTTTGTACCAGTCATTAGGTGATGCAAATAGAAATTTCTATGTGTAAATAAAAAATTTTAAAACTTGACACGTGAAATGTTGTCTTAAGATAGAAATGACTTAATATCAATAATTTCCATTAAAAGTAATTTATTCCTATATTTGTATAATTTTAGGAGCATATTTCTTGTCAATGTAACAAGTATTTTATATTTTGATTAAATTATATTAAAAAACCAATAACATAAAATAGATAAATAAATTATATCATCAAACTAAACCTTTTATTTGTAATTTTATTAACATGGATGATTCCACAATATGAAAAATTACTTTTAATATTCACCTTTAAAATGTAAAGCTTTTGAATTCAAAAATTTTAATTTTTGAATTAAAATTATAGAAAGATGACATGTAAATTTTAATAAATGCATTTTTAACACAACTTCTAAAATCTTAACTAAACTTAGTCAAAACAAACAAAAAAGCAGAGCACACTTCCGTGGAGTCAATTCTGACTCATAGGAACCCTCCGTGGAGTTGCTGAGGCTATACAGCTTTACAGGAGCAAACAACCTCACCTTTCTCTCACAGGGCGACTGGTGAGTTTAAGCCACCAGCTGGGAAATGAACAGCCCAGTACTTAAGCAACAGTGCCAACCCTGAAGTCAACTTTCAAATGAATAAGGCATTAAATGGCATCTATAATGCAGAAGGAGTCTTATGAATAGCAAGATTATCCAAGATGTCAAGGGGAAAAAAGCACAGTCAATCCACACAAAGACTGAACAGAATAAAGGCCAGAAGATTCAACATGCTTTTCAGAGACACTGAGTAATTCATTATTGGGAAATAAGACATATCATTCACTCGCATTGATATCAAGCTTGTTGAAAGATAAATATGTGGGCTAAGTCTAATATTTGGAGAAACATGAATGCCAAGCTAAAAGGTTTTAAAGTTAGAAAAAGGCTGTTGGTTTGGGAGTCCGAATTTAAAAAAAAATATTACCAATTTTTTTCACAGTATCCCCATATACAAATGTTCCCTCATATTCCAGCTTTTTATCAAGACCTAATCCAAATTTGGAAAAATAAAGATGAACTTTAGAAAATGGCATTTTCCAGTATCTATGGTGCTCTGGACTCTCTCAGCTTGCATTATTGTTTATTATGACTAATTCATTAACTCGAGTTCTTTTCTCTTGATTCTGTAGTGGGAAGAGATCAGTGGTGTGGATGAGCATTACACACCCATCAGGACGTACCAGGTGTGCAATGTCATGGATCATAGTCAAAATAATTGGCTGAGGACAAACTGGGTCCCCAGAAACTCAGCTCAGAAGATCTACGTGGAACTCAAGTTCACTCTGCGGGACTGCAACAGCATTCCATTGGTTTTGGGAACTTGCAAGGAGACTTTCAACCTGTACTATATGGAGTCTGATGATGATCATGGAGTGAAATTCCGAGAACATCAGTTTACAAAGATTGACACCATTGCAGCTGATGAAAGTTTCACTCAAATGGATCTTGGCGACCGCATTCTGAAACTCAACACTGAGGTTAGAGAAGTGGGTCCTGTCAACAAAAAGGGATTTTATTTGGCTTTTCAAGATGTTGGTGCCTGTGTTGCCTTGGTGTCTGTGAGAGTGTACTTCAAAAAGTGTCCTTTCACAGTGAAGAATCTGGCTATGTTTCCAGACACGGTACCCATGGACTCCCAGTCTCTGGTGGAAGTTAGAGGCTCATGCGTTAACAATTCGAAAGAGGAAGATCCTCCCAGGATGTACTGCAGTACGGAGGGTGAATGGCTTGTACCCATCGGCAAATGCTCGTGCAATGCTGGATATGAAGAACGAGGGTCCATGTGTCAAGGTAAGAGTCTGTTCTTTGTTCCCCAGATTGCTTTTGCTCCTGACCTGCGAGTTGATCATGCAGTGATGAGCCCTGGCTCCTTTGCGACAAAATGCCCCTCACACTGATCTGATTTTATGTATAGAATACGTTCATCCCACTTGACATGTTGTTTTGTGTTTTGTTGTGGCAATGTAACTGTATTTGATCATGGGTTACGGCGTAACCTCAAACTGAGGTGTTGTATATGTGCTATTTTACTTTTCCTTGACAGTTAGTGAATATACTTATCTATGACTAGAGAAATTAAGGAGTATTTTTCTCCATTTTTTATTTCGAGGATAAAGACATTGATAGCCCTCAGATAATCGAATTCTAACAAAATTAGGTACTGTGGTGACTAGAGATGTTTTACTTAGTTAAAAATATATTTTTCCATCTACATCTAATCATGTAGTAAGTATTTATGTGCAATCTAGTAATCCTTTAATAAAGATTATTTTATTTAAGTATCTAGACTCATGCTCAAGTGATTGCTGTATAAGAGGGTGGTCCCCGCCAGTGCCTTCCCCACCATATCCCCACATCCCTGCCATGATATGTCCTTTTTCTTCCCAAGAGAATATTATATAATACTTTGGTTGGAATGAAAAAATTATTTTTAATATACAGCCAGAGAATATAAGACAATATAATCAAAATGTTCATTAAAATCTTCTCTGATTGAAATAAACTCTATAAAAAGATTGTTTTATGCAAAATTACATCAGAGGAAGTTCTTCGTCAATCCACCAAATTGGTATTCAGCATTAGGCAAATTTTTGTGCTTAAGAATACATTGAATATATTAAATTTTAAACGTGTAAATATTAATATTTAAGCACGTAGTCTATAAATCTCTATTTATTTTCATGCTTTATGAAGGGAATTTAATTTGGTATTTTATTTGTGGCCATTCTGTATTTTCAAATCCATGAAGACTAAACAAATATGCTCTCTACATAAATAGGGCTTTCTTGCAATTTGAATGAAAGATAACGTTTTGTGTTTGACTATAGACATAGTTCATGATTTTCTTTAAAGCGAGGGCAAATCGGACTCAGTAGCCTTTACATTTTCTGTTAGGAGACACTTGGAAAGCCCCACGGGAATACTTTTACTAAGACTGGTTTTAAAGTTCTACAATTGAATAAAAATTGATAGGCAACTTCTGGTTTATAAACTTTAGTGGAAAGAGAAATATATAAATATTATATCCCATTGCATTTATGGAGTATACTTTAAATAAAATAACGAAGACTTAATCAAAGAGGAATTAAAAATCTGTCCACTCATTCTAATCCAATCTTTGCTGAATTCACCCATGTTATCCTCACTAAGAGATAAATACACTTATATCCATTCAAATAATGTGCATCATTTTATGAAGAGCAATCCACAATGAAATACTCTGAGATCAAAAACCAGTTCATCGTGTGTTTGAGCTTTAAATATGTTTTATATAGTTTAAAAGAAAAACTTCTCCATAGGGTAATAAGACATAGAAAAATAATAACAATGAAGAAAATAGAACTACATACTTGCATTACTAGCAATAACTAAAATAACAAACAACTTGCAGTATATACTATCTTGAGGACAAACATCACTTGAAGTACGAGAAAAGAAACCATATTGAATTATATCAGAAGGTTTTACAATCAGTTCAAGGTTGCTATTATTTATTTTACTTACTTTTCATGTATTTAATAATCTTTCTCCTATGAACCTATCATGCAAAGTAGAACTGCCCCCCTGGGCTTTCCAGATAATACATTTCTATGGGAGTAAACAGTCCCATCTTTCTCTCACAGAGCAGCAGCTGGTTTTGAACTGCCGTCTTCGAGGTTAGCAGCCCAGCAGGTAATGAATGCTTCAGGCCACTACAGGGTCGTTCTGAGTCAGAATCAACTCCCTGGCAGATTTTGAGTAAATCATTGTTTTAAAGTAACTATGTACTATAAATGCTATTCCATGCCAGAGAGGTAACTATTCTGTAGATTCATCTTTTTGAATATTGTTGTTATTAATAACCAGGAATGCCTACAGAACCTAAATGACAGTAATTTTTGTTATCACAGATTTTCCTCTTGGCTATTGAAAATACCGGCTTAAGAGACATGTGTACATTAGTAGAAAAGTATTCTTAGAAAAACATCCCATGAATAAAACCAGCACAAGTAACTATAGCAGAATCAGAGCTAGTCGATAAAATGGCAGGAGTTTGCAGGCAGATGCGTTTCTTTATCTGTGTAATTCAAAGGCAGAGCCGATTCTGACCTTGACATTCACTGGTGGTGGCAGGGTACATTCTGGCTTTTTGTTTTCCTAATGAGGAAGCCTGTTTGGATTCACATTAGTATACAAAGTGTTTGTTATGATTTGTATGTGGTAGTGTGTGAGCCTAAACCAATTGTGGTTCTACAACTATATGTTAAGTATCTTAATTTTTGCCATTCTCTAGTAGGCCAATCCAAAACAGAACTCATTCTTCAGCCTGGCATCAATCTTAGTATAGTGCAGCCAAGGTAGTTGTTGCTGTTTATTGATATTGTTTTTGGTCAAGATAGCTTAAATATTTGAATGCTTTGGGGTCTATCAGCTTTTTCTTTTTCTTTTTCTTTAGAAAACAAATGTGAGCTCCACATCAAAAGAAATGAAACCATGCCTTTAGTGCCCTTTCCTTGTAGCCTGTTCACCCACGTTTTAAATATATCAGGATAATTTTATAACATAAGTATTTTTGTTGCCTAATATGGAGAAAAACAGCACTCATACGTTTTTATTTAACAAATATTTAAAGAGCAGGGACTTTATTTCAAGCAATATAAAATTTTAAATATATTTTTGTATTTGTTTCACCTTTCATTCTGTCCTCAGCACGTGACAGATACTGTGCAGATTTGCTGAGTGATCCTCAAGGGTCATGCCCTTTATTCTTCAAAAGAGACTTTCAGGTCTACACTTCTGTGAACCTCAGCTGACATTTGAGGTGACTAAAACTTTGAAATATGAAATATGTTCCCTAAGACCCTTTATTGAGTAACATTAGAACAAATATTTGAAACCAGGCCCTCTATTTCCCCAAGAGTTTCTATTGTAAATTCAAGCAATAGGTTTTCTCTATGGCTTAGTCTAATGGTAAGAGATAGTAGGAAACCCATTCAGGACGTGAACACAACTGAAGTTAGAGTACTGTATTTTAACGAATGACTAGGGCTTCAGACATCAGGCACCACGTAAGCAAGAATTTACTAATCTGAGGCATATTTGTATCATTCCATTCCTGCTTTGTGCCTATAGTTTTAAGAAAGTAGGGTTAGAATTGAGAGTATTATGGTATGTAGGGAGGCTCAGCTAAGCTCCAGTGATATAGCAGGTTACAGCTTGGGCTGCTAACCATAGGTCCAGCCAATCAGACATTTCCCATCAGACAAGTTCCAACCAATCAGACATTTCAGAGGACAAAGATGAGACTGTCTGCTCCCATAAAGAATGATAATCTGTAAAGGGTAATTCTGATCATCTATTTTAAGTCCTCAGCTCTGGTAGTATAATTCATTACATTTGGTTACACTTTGGACTACTAACTACAAAATCCGCAATCAAAACCCATTAACTTCTCCAGGAGAGAAAGATGTGGATTTATAAGTTAGAACTGACTCGAAGGCAGTGGGTTTGAGTTGGGAACTTTAAATGCTTCCAGTGCAAGACTGCAAACTGACGGCAACCAATTAAGTCCTAGATGATGCAGTGGGATTATAGAAAATCTGAATATTTCAAATTTGAGTGAAACTGAATGATAACTGCAATGAAAAAAAAGTATTGAAATCCTAGAATTAGAGACACATTTGGAACTCATGAATGCAGACAGACTACAGAGAGTGACATGTATTCAAAGCAGGATAGTCCCTGCCATCTTTGGACTGGCACCTTTCTGATCCTGCTAGGCAAGAGACTATGTTACTGTGGAGTGCACACACTGCCCTGGTGTAAGAGGAAGATTACATTTCTAGCAGGCCATCTACACATAATATTTTATGTTCTTATCATCCAGTGTATGCACATTTTAAAATTTTGCTTCATGGGCCATCCCTGAATCCAGAAGAACCAGTTTGAGATGGTAATACTAAGTAAGTCATGTGCTAGAAACAAGGAAAAATAGATGAATTTTTAACTATATCTCTCTACCAGGAGCTCATAATCTAGTACAGGAAACAGATATATAAGTGAATAATTTTCATGTAAAACAGACTAATAAATGTACTAGAAGACCAGTGTGCCTTGGCATTATAGGAAAAAGACAATTTAATAATTAAAATTGTTAATTAATAATGGTGCATCTCCTTATTCAGAGTTTAAAAACTTTTGTCACCATTGTGCTTAGAAATGTTGCAGGTAGAAAAAATAAAAAGCAAATTAAATCCCCCAGTGTACATATTCTAGAGGAAATCTTTGTAAATTGTTTGTTAAATCACACCAGCATTGAAATGTGTTGGAATCACCTTGGAGTTTTTTCCTGTGTGTCCCTGATAAAAGAAAACATTCTAAGTGTCATAATTAGGTAGTGATTTATACTTTAGTACTATAGTATCTTAGATTATTTATTCCACTGTAGAAAAATACTGATACTGTTACAGTAGTGTGAATCAGATGATAAAAATGTGGTCATCACAATCTATCTGTTTATTCTTGTGGTAATCACAATTTCATAGAAAAGTTCTATTGAAAAAATACTCCGACCAAAAAACCCCACATTGGTCAATTTCATAAAAATAAATAAAATCAAAATTATTATTTTGTAAGGACAAGGATTGTATCAAGTTACTATACTTCTAAAGTTTATAATGAATATTTTCACAACACTCTATTTTTCCAAAAATGAGATAAATAGTGGGGAAGATACTTCGACCGTTCAATCAAATCCGCAGTATTTATTGAACTTTAATGTTTGCCAAACGCACATCAAAAGAAAGAGAGAT